CCTAATAGTCAAGGTCGGTTGTCATAGCAACTGAGAGGCAGGCCCCCTGCTAACAAGTCATCATTAACGTCATCTTAGCCACCTGACCCGAACACCTTCAAGCACCTGTCTCCTCTTACCAGAGTCGGAGGTTCCCCAGTTTCCAGGGCTGGAGGATGGTGCTGCGGACTCTTCCAGCTGCTTGGTTCAGGGAGAGGAATCCTGTGCCCTCCCTGGTGGGGCTGCTGTTAACTCCGTCCCCGCTGACTAGGCTTCCCTTCCTAGTCCACCCACAAAAGTGTCTTTCCACTGCAGCCAACCCTGTTGCCTTATATCCTCAAAATGCTCTTTGGGTCTCTCCGTTATCCTTCTTTGCGCTTAGTTCCCACTACTTAACTATCAGTGTGCCCTTGGGCCTCAGCTATCCTATCTGTAAAATGCAGCTAATAGTGCCTGTGCCAACTGTTTCATAGGGTTGTTGGAAAGCTCAAGTCGGGTAATGAGTGGGAAAGCATGTGATAAGCCAGAAGTTATTATTTTTGTTTTCCTTCTGTTCTGCCATGAGTAGCGCTGAGCACCACCCACTAGTCAAGTAAATGTCATAGCATTCATTGAGTACCTGCTGTGGGCCAGGCACTGGGCTAGACACTAGGAGGTAGCTGCAGAAGTGACTAAGACAGAGCCTCTGCCCTCAGGGAACTCACTGTGTGGTGGGCAGATTGGCATGTAAACAGCTAGCTGAGATACAAGTCAGCATGTGATTAGTGCCATGGGGACATAGGGGCTCTGGGACATCAGGCAAAGGAGTGATTAATTCTTGCTGCAGAATGGGAGAAGATTTCGTAAACTGTATTCCTCAGCTTTGAAGGATGAGTAGAATTTTATTATTAATTAATCAGAGAAGGCAAGGAACACATTCCAGACACAGGGATCAGTGGGTGAAAAGGTAAAGATTTTCAAGTATGTAGTCCTGCTGGCCTGAAGTCAGGGTGATTGGGCCAGGGAGATTGTGGATCTAAACTCCCAGCTCTTCCACCTCCTTTTTATTCTGTCCCCTCCTAGCTCACTCTACACTGTGCAGACCTGCTTTCTATCACTGCAACACACCAAGTGGTCTCTCAGGGCCTTTGTATTGCCTGTATCTGCCTCTTCTTCATTTCTCAGGCCTTAGCTCAAATGTCCCCTCCTCAGAAGGCATTCCTTGCCCACTGTAACTAATGTCAGCCTCCAATCTCTATGATACCACTCTATGATAATGGCAGCCATTGGGGTGGAATACAGGGGCATCTCACCTAGAGCTGGGGAGATAGGCATGAGCTTCATAAAGAAAGTAACATCTAAGTGAGACCTGATGGGTAAGTAGCAATTGGCCAGGGGCAGAGGGGAGGGAAAGCATTTCAAGGCAGAGGGAGAGTATGTGCAAAACAAGAAGAATCATGGAACATTCTAAAAACTGAAAGCATTTTGATGTGGTTAGAGCTAGAATGATGGGAGAAGCAAGAAGTTGGAGAGGTTGAAGAACTATGGGAAAGGCTGAAGAAGTAATCATAACATGTATTAGCCCTTACCATGTGCCAGGCATTGTCATAACTCACTTAATTCTCACAATAACTTTCTGAGATGGATATTCTTACTCAGATGAAGAAACTGAGGCAGAGCAAAGTGATCCATCTTGCCCAAAGTCACGTACCTACAAAGTAGCAGAACTGTCTCTAGAGTCTGTGTGTACCAAATGACCCTGCCCTCTCCCAGACCCAGTGTCCCTTTATGATAACAACTATGTTGTCACTCAGCTTTACTATCCCAAAGTGAAATCAACACATAACATCTGATTTCAAAACGACATGATTTCAAAAAACCATATAATGCCCTGACTATAAAGAAGACAAAATGAGGATATTTCAATATGCCAACACTCAGGCACCACTACACTGGATGATATATAGTATAGTAGCGGGTTGTCGGAAAGGTCATGACGCATGTTTGCAACAGATGGCACTAGTTCATTTTTGGAAGTACTAGAGTCATTCGCATCTATGTTATTGCTATGTCATTTGACAACTGACAGTTCTAGTTTCATTGTAAAAAAAATTGAGCGATTCAGTTGAGTTTTAGAGATTTTACAACAAGTTGAAGATGGAAGACCAAACTGTGCATTTTTATCATATTTTACTGTTTTATTTCCATAAAGGGAAGAATGCGCGTGAAGCTTGTGAAAAGTTGCATAAAGTTTACGGTGACAATGCTCTACACGAACGTCAGTGCCAACAATGATTCACAAAATTCCGTGCTGGTGATTTTGATCTCAACAACGCTCCTCGGTCAGGGAGGCCCACCTAGGTTGATAACAACAAAATAAAGGCATTGACTGCGTCAAACCCATGTTACACAACACGAGAGATTGCAGAAACATTGAACATCCATCATTCAAGCATTCACAACCACCTGAAGAAGCTGGGATACGTAAGGAAGCTCAATATTTGGGTTCCGCATGAACTCAAAGAAGTTCATTTCATGGCGCGTATAAACATCTGCAACATGCTCATTAAACGTGAGGAAAATGATCCTTTTTTGAAGCGACTGATAACTGGTGATGAGAAGTGGATTATTTACAACAATGTGGTGTGCAAACGGTCTTGGTCCCGATGTGATGATTTGCCTCAAACGACATCGAAAGCAGACATTCGTCAGAGGAAGGTTATGCACTCAGTGTGGTGGGATTTTAAAGGTGTCGTGTTTTTCGAGCTCCTACCAAGGAACCAAACAATCAATTTGAATGTATACCGTCGGCAATTGGACAGTTTGAATGAATCCATCATCCAGAAACGTCCAGAGCTTGTTAATTGTAAAGGGGTTGTATTCCATCACGATAACATGAGACCACACACAAGTCTGATCGCCTGTCAAAAATTATTGGAGCTTGGATGGGATGTGTTGCCACACCCACCATACTCGCCTGACCTTGCACCATCAGACTTCCACTTGTTTCGCTCTCTTCAAAACTCCTTGCGTGGTATAACGTTCAATTCAGATGAGGCTGTAAATCAGCACCTTGTTCAGTTTTTCGCAAATAAAGACAGGTCCTTCTATGAACAAGGAATTTGAAGCTCACTGAAAGATGGCAAAAGGTTATTGAACAAAATGGGCAATATATCATTGATTGATCTTTGTTCTTTATATAAATAAATGACCTTTGAAAAACATAGACAAAATATGTCATGACTTTTTCGACAACCCGATAGTCAGATGTGTGCACTCATTCCTAGAATCACTAAGAATATGACAGGAACAAGTGCAGACTGACTAAGGGTGTTGTATTGAGCAGCATTGTCATTTGTGATGTGATTTTCCAAAATGGTGGACAACTCTTATTAAAGTTCTGAACAACACAAAACAACACAGTAGTTGTGCTGTTAGAAAAAAACCATTATATTAACTATGTGTAAAAATATTTCATACATATATTTTTGTCTTCTGATAACATGACAGGCTAAGTACCTTGGAGACCTTCTCTCTAAAAACAACTAAAAATCCTGCATAAAAATATTTTTAAAATCTTAAATTCTGTGAAGAAAGAGTAAGGAATTTTCAAGGCAAAACAAAGTGAATGAAGGCAGGGGACACACAGAGAGGTAAGTGGAACACTAAAGCAGGTGTTTGCTCTGTGGACACTGGCCTACTAGGTGACTGTGAGCTTCTGTCAGTGTCTCATGGGAAAAGAAAACACCCCAGAACCTCCTCAACAGGGAAGCTTAACTAGAGATTCTCCCTTCATAAAGATGGGACCCCAAAGGACTACATTTTCATGGCAAGGGTGAACCAGAAATAAACCTGTCCTCTCGTCCCTGGGTGTGAGGTTAATGGAGATAGATTCTAGGCTCAGATGATAATAACTAGATTTTTTTCACATGGAATGTCCAGTAGGAAATTGAGAGCCATGTGGAACCCAAGATAATACTTGGTTGTGTGGATCCATCCCTCACAATGGAGCACTCTTAACATCCTTGACCCTGCCCTCCAAATGCCAATAGCACACCCTTATCATTGTGATAAACAAAAAGACCTCCACAAATTTCCAGAATGCGCCCATGGAGAACCACTGTCAAGTTAGCAAGGAACCTATTTGTGTAGGACTTTATCTATTGTGAAAAGTTAGATTTTATCTTGAGGGTGAGAGGAAAACCATTGAAAAGCTTAAGCCAGTAAGTGCCACTTTGCCTTCTAGAAAGATCCCTCTGACTAAAATGTGGAAGATGGATTAGATGGGGCCAGCCTGGAGGCAAGAACGCCTGTTGGGAGGCTGCTGTGGACATCTAAGTCAGAAATGATGGTTGCCCAAACTGAGTGGCAGCTGGGCACTGGCTGGACACACAGGCTTTGGAGGCAGGACTGCCTGTCTGCAGAGCCCAAGGTCTCAAGTCTTTGTTTTGCCCACCATTGAATAGGGTGAGACTTTGGACAGGCTATTCAACCTCCACCAGCCTCT